TTTGATGAGAAGAAATTAAATGATAAAAGTCAAAATAGCTTTTATAAAAAAGGTGGCTTCAATGTCTGTTGAAAAAATGTGAAAGAAAATCAGGTATTTTTAAAATGTCTCTTGCTTATGACAATGGAATCCCAACACCTTAAGTAATACGAAAGGATGCTTCGAAACCCTTTTCCCTGGAACACTGGCCAAAGGCTCGTGTTTTGTATACTTTTTAACCTAGCGCAGGAGTCTTACATTTAGCCTCCAATAGGTCTTCACAATCCTCTCCTATCCATACTGGGCAAATAATCTTTCTATGCATGTTTTTTAGCCTAACGCTTTACCTACACTGTAGCTCCTCACAATCCCCTCCCCGCCTCACTGTGGGAAGGATCTTTCTTTGCACGTTTTATAGCCTAGCTCAGGTCTCTAGCCTCTAGCCTAGCTTTCAACAATATTCTCCCAGCCACTGTGGAAAAGGTTTTTCTTTATCATGATGTTTTAGTCCAGCTGCTTTCAGAGGTGCCAGAATTCGAAGTCGCTGATAAGATGAACCAAATGTAGGCGATGATATTGTCCATATCCTTACCTGGGCACTCCTGATTGTTGCATTCGCTGGTAGCACTGTCGGGTCCCAGTACACTGCAATCTTTTCCTCCGTTTGCCGGTGGTGGATTGGTACACGTTCGTTTTCGCGTTTTTACCCCACCTCCACAAGTCTTCGAACACTCGCCATACGGTTTCCAATCCGAGTAACCACCGTTAACTATAAAAGGCGAGGGAGGAAAAGCCAGTCTTGTATTTCTGTCTAATTACGTTATGGGGAACGATTTTGATGGGATTTTCGACAAATTCATTGTTTGCATCTCGAATACAGTCATTCTAATTAGAAAAGGCAAGCAAAATCTGAGTTTATTTATGGTTCTCAGGAAATGGCTCAGAAACTGCGTCAAACGATGAAGTTTTAATCATCAATACCCTTTGCAAGATCTAGCGTCCTCAAAGATAAATTTGAGGGCGGACGCTATCTATGAACTACAGAGCATCATCAATAGCTTACGTCAAAGGCGCTAGGAACTTGCAATTTAGCAACTGTTAGTCCTGATAGATATTTCACTTGTGAATCAAATAAGTAAAGATGGGTGAAAGAATTTTGTACTGCAAGAAAGAAGTTTTTGCAAATGTTACTCCGGGGACTATGAAGATCCCTTTTATTTATTTGAGATTTGTAGTTTAGGATTAAAAGTTAAAAAGTTAAAATCAGACTCTATTGATTTTCCATTTTACCTGGACATTCCTGGATATTGCATTCCGTGGTAGAAATGTCAGGTCCAAGGACATTGCAGTCTTCTCCTCCGCTTGCGGGGGGCGGATTGGTACATGTCCTCTTACGTGTCTTCACCCCACCTCCACACGTTTTTGAACACTCGCCGTACGGTCCCCAATCGGAGTAATTACCATTTACTATACAGAAGTGAAAAAAGAAGAACCGAATCGGACCTCTCAAAACGATAAAGTCAATGGATTAGTTGCATATTTTTGCAAGTAAATAATTGCTCGATTTTTTCACCAACAGCTTGTGCTAAATTAAGCAACGTCTGTTTAAGGTACTCGTAGACATTGTCAGCGAAGTTGTAGAACTAAGATTACGAATTCGACCCAATGGTCACAGTCAATAACCGCGGTAGAGCAACGCAGATGACGTTGCACGTCGCTTTACTGGCTATCAGCGATAGACAGCGTTGCTTCCCCTTGTTGAACCGTCAGAGAAAAGTCATGCTCGAGGCCTACTGAGATGTAAAAGTTATCATCATCGTCACCATCATCATTATCACCATCACCATCATCATCATCATCATCATCTTCATCGTCGTCATCGTCTTCATCGTCATCATCATCATCATCATTATCATCATCATTTTTGAAGAAATGGAAACCTCTAACTCATCCGAACGTTATGCTTTGTCTCGCGATCATTTCCTTACCTGGACAACC